GGCATGCTTTCTCTGGTCCTGTCAGCTTCGTCTCTCTCACTTCCTATGATGTGCTTGATCACTACATTGTCCACCTCCTTTCACCATCTCTCTCGAGTGCTGGAGTAGTGGGCATGCCCCACCACACCTGGCTCCGAGTGCATCTTTAAGACACAAACACCTGGAAAATAATTGGGCAAGGCAAGACGATCCATCAAGCAGAACCCAAGCCTGGTGTTTGAGCTGAGAACAGGGTGGGGAGATTCTAAGTCCTACAGAAGACCTGCTATTATTCTGCTAAAAGGACAGAGGATTAAAATACCCTCTAAGGGGCTCATCTTCATCCCCATATATTAACGCAGCTCTGCACCTTCACCGGTGCTTCTGACAGGAGATGGTGATGGATACACCGACTCACAACTGGTCGGTGTGCAGAGAATAAGAGGCTGTGACGTGCTCAGCCCTACACGCCAGACCTGTATCCCACCACCTACTTCTGTGGTTCAGGGAGCATGGAGGAAGAGAGGGCAGAAAGACTGTAAGAGGCAGAGGAAGAGGATGACGGCTGCAAGAGTCTTTTCGAGACGTGCAGGCCCGTTTGCTCACGGGCTCACAGCAGAGATGACGGTACAAGAGCCACACAAGCTCAAGCTGGTAAGAAATCCCACCAAGGTTGGCGGAGCGGCTCGCAATCCACCCCACCCCCAGCTGAGGAATTATTGTCACTGTGTGGCTGTCTGGAAAGGGAGACACCGTTTTCTTCAGTGACGCAGCCCCTGGGGAACACAAGCTCCAGTAGATCGCCCTACACCCATGCAAATACTGGCAGTAGTATTAAGAGGCCTCGGTTTTAAAAAGCATACTCGAAATCGAGAAGAAAACACGGGGGAACCTACGGGAGAGCTGAAGGAGAGAGGTGGGGGTGGATCTGATCAAAACATATTATGAGCATGTATAAAATTCTCAAACAATTTAAAAAAAGATCTGGGCAAGGAAGCGAATTCTCTCGAGATGAGGGAAGAGCACTAAGAGAATTAGGAAAAGGTCCCACTGGAAAAGAAAGCAGAGTAGGTGCGTGGTGACTCCTGTTGTCCTTACGCACCAACGGCTAGAAAGCATCAGCCCCGTGCAGACAGCCCCGGGCTCCCCAGCTGGAGTTCACAACGATCAAAACACTCTTCCAACTCATGGCATTATTGTACACAGCTGTCTCCACGTTGGACCTCATTTTATCCAGCAACACAATCTGACGTTGGAGGACTCTTACCCCATTCTACAGGGAATGGTGCTGGGGTTCACCACCTTGCCCCAAGAGGACACGCTACAAAAACAGAAAAGAAAAGGAGGTAGGTGTGGTAGCTCCCCACCTATCCATCCCAGAACTTGGGAGGCTAAGTCAGAAGGACTGTCATAAGTTCTAAAAAGTGGAAAAGAAGTTGAACGTAAATCAAGCTGGAAACGAAACTTCTCTCTCCCCCTCCCCCTTGGATTTCCTCGTTTTTTCATCACCTGCTCCTCACCATGATGACCACGAAGCAATGGAACAGTACAAAGACAAAGCAGGGGTAACCTGCAGTGGGTGCAAAGCAATCAGAGGCAGAAAGCCTGGTCACCAGCAAACGTCAGGACTCACGTAAGACGAGGACAGTTGGAACAGAAGAATCCATTCCGGCAGTGACGGAGGATAGCCAGACACCTGCCCCTCCATTAATTAGGACAACAGGCACACAGCCACTTCCATCACTAAATTCTTTTTTTTTTAAATATTTATTTATTTATTATGTGTACAATATTCTGTCTGTGTGTATGTCTGCAGGCCAGAAGAGGGCACCAGACCTCATTACAGATGGTTGTGAGCCACCATGTGGTTGTCGGGAATTGAACTCAGGACCTTTGGAAGAGCAGGCAATGCTCTTAACCACTGAGCCATCTCTCCAGCCCCACTAAATTCTAAGTTTATGTAACTTTGTTTTGCTGAGAGTGGGTCCCACAAGCCCACCCAGGCTGGCCTCAAACCGCACTATGTATCCAAGGACTTAGACTGCCTGACCTTACTGCCTCTGACTCCGGAAGTGCTGGGATTCAGACACAGCCACGATGGTGGGGCTGAGAGATGGCTCAGTGGGTAAAGGTGCTGAGAACGCCTGGCAACTTGAATTTGCTCTGGGAACTTTTGTAAACACGGAAGAAAGGGCTCCTGAAATCTGTTCTTTGACCTCTACATTGGCACAGTGGTACACATGACCCCTGCCCCTGCCCACACACAATAAGATTTTTCTTTCTTTTTTTTTTCCTTTTTTTTTTTTTCTTTTTTGTTGTTTAGAGACAGGGTTTCTCTGTGTATCCAGGGCTGTCCTAGAACTCACTCTGTAGACCAGGCTGGCCTGGAACTCATAGAGATCCACCTGTCTCTGCCTCCCAAGCGCTGGGATTAAAGGCTGCGCCACCACTGCCCCGCAAGATTTCTTTGATTGCTTTAAAATAGTTAGAATAAGGTGAATTGAATTCTCCAAATTTAAATGGTTAATATTTGTTCAGAATTTTTTTGCTTTATTTCCTTTTTCTTTTCTTTTTTTTTTTTTTTTTTAAAGATGGGGCCTTGTTGGCCTAGCACTTACTATGTAGGCCAGGCTAACTTCAGACGTCTCTGGTCCCTACCTCCTAGGTGCTGGGACTGCAGGTGCATGCCATCATGCCATCATACTCAAATTTGGATGTGACATCTCAGCCCGTCCCAAACTGAAACAGAATTGTCTTTTAAACCTCCCTTCTCTAACGAGGAAAACTGAGTCAAGAGAGGAAGCCAACTGTCCCAAAGTCAGAGAAGCAATACAAGGTGGAGGCATAAACAAGAAAACTCGGGGCAGTCTGCTCACATCCTGTGCTCTTAACAATCACCCAGACCCTCTGGACACATCCTCCCAAGTCTGGAAGTCAAAAGAGCTGGCACAGAGAGACCAGTAGCACCATTACATCCCAGCAAGCCCTTGCAGGTTGCTCACTGATACAGGAAGCCCCGGGGTCAGATTCTCAAAAGCACCCCAAGAAATGTTTCCATCTTCAGGGCCACTTTACAGATGAGGAAATGGCTCAGACAAATAAATACATTCATTTGGCCACGCTCAGCTACACTGGCTTATGATCACAAGGTGCGTATTAACATTGGTGTACGCACTAACTCCACATAATCCTCGTAATTAACACTGCAAGGTAAATTCCATTGTTACTCATCCTTCTTACCTAAATAACTCGTCTAAGGCCCTATTCTCCCTAAGTAAAGGGCAGGGCCAGGATTCACACCGGCTCAAAGCCCTTCTCAAAACAAAGTCATGGTAACGTGGTAGTGGAACAGAAATTCAAACCCAGTCTGTGAGTTCAAGGCCAGCCTGGTCTACAGAGCTAGTTCCAGGACAGCTACAAAGAAAGAGAGAAAGAAAAGAAAAGGAAAGAAGAGAAGAGAAGAGAAGAGAAGAGAAGAGGAGAAGAGAAGAGAAGAGAAAAGAAAAGAAAAGAGAAGAGAAAGAAATTCAAACCCAGCTCTAACTCCCGAGTCAGAACCTAATTGCCCTTCGGTCTGTCGAACTGTGGTGGGAAAGCCTGGAAGTGCTCTGGGGAGTCAAGGAAGGTACATTTAAGGGACAGCATCTTGAAAGAGAAAGTGATTTGGGGGACACAAATAATGTTTGTAGAAGAAATGCAAAGTAAGGACTCCCATCCAGGGGAAGCCTTTCTCAAACAGCAATGCAGCCACGAGCAAAGCATGCATTACACTACTAAGAAAATCAGAGTAAATTAGAAAATCTTTACATCATCTTATTTAAAAATACTCTTGATGAAGGAAAACAGGTTTTTAATTCCCTTTCATTTTGGCCACACACTTGAAATTCAACAAGGAACCACAATGCGTGGTTTTCCCTGTCACGCTAGACTGGCATCCTGACTTTGAACAGCTACTTCCTCAAACTGAGTCCTGCAAAGCCCAGTGGTTTATCAGAACTCCAGGGACCTTTGCAAAACTCTCCTTCGAGTCTTGAAATAATCATTTAGAAACTGAAAAAAATGGCCGGGAAAAAAAAATTCAAGCCAAGAAGTGAGGGAAAGTAGCGCACCTCTTTCTGGTTGGACCAGGGGCTCGTTCGTGGTCAAGTTCTGGCAGAAATGCCGCAGAGCCGGATTCATTTTAACTGGCAATCTGTTTTATGACCACAGTATCGGCAGCTGCGGAAGCACAAGTCTTAAGCCCAAGAAAAAGGAACAGGAAGCGGTGGGAATGGCGAGGGAGCCCTGGAGCTGTGCTGGTTCCTGGGTTTGTGAGATTGGGCAAGTGATAATTCTAGGAAAAGTGCAGGGCGACCGGCCAACTCCAGAGTCCCAAACATGGGCCCTGAACAAGGTACTTTCTCGCCCCCTTGCGGACCCAAGTGACAACTGACAATGTGCCAATTAAGGGATAGGTAAAGGGCTCCGAAAGGTTCTCCAAGATGAGCGTTCTGCTAGAGCAACCCTTCAAGGGACTCTCAGAGATCCGCCCAGTTTTACATAGAAGTAAATTGGGGCTCAAGGAAGAAAGGCATGTCTTGCTAGCAAAAAGGAAAGCTGAAGTGAAGGCAGACGTGGAGCTGGTGCCTTTTATCTGGAAGTCCTGGGGCTGGGGTCCGATTCGATCCTTCTTTTCGGACCGAGCAGGCTAGGCTGGCATCAGGGAAACCTGGCAAGGAGACCGCGGGCACTGAGGGGTGGCGAGTCCACGGGACGCAGGGCTGCAGAAGCCCAGCTAGGTCGCAGCCTGCACCATGCGTTCCCCGGCATCGGTCCCTGCAGCCTTCCTGAGGCTGCCAGTCCCGGGGCTGTAGCCGCCAAAGCACTCGCGCCAGCGAACCAACCAACCCAGGCGCCCGCAACGGTACCCGCGCCAAACGCAACTAGCCTGCCACCAGCCAGACCGCGAGTGCTCTCCGGACCGCGGCGGGCACCACGAGCAGGTTAACCGGAGAGCCCACCGACTGAGCGCCTCTCCTTACCGGAGCTGCTCCCCGGTGACGAGAACTTCAGCCATGCGTTCCAGCTCTCTCTGATGAGCCCCACCACTCCCGCCGGGGTTGCTGTCGCTGCCACCGCTGCCGCCGCTGCTGCCCTCCTCCATGCTCCCGACCGCGCGGCTGCTGCTACTCTGCCTTGGCTGTCCCGCCGGGTGCCTGGCTTTCGAATCAGCCTGCCCTCGCCGAGGCCGCCCCGGCCATCTTTGTTCCTGGCGGTCCCGTGGCTCACGAGCGATTGGCTCGTGAGGGAATCCCTGCGGGCAAGCTGGAGATTTCGGCGAGTCCAGCCCTGGAACTTCGGCGTGGGGGCGTGGCCTGGGCTCGCTCGTGGCCGGGGGCGGGGCCAAGGAGGAAAACATAAACATCTGGGCGGGGCAGTGAGCTGAGTCTTCTGGAGGTTGAGTGTTTTCTCTCCTTTTATATTTCTTTTCTTTTCTTTTTTTTTTTTTTACTTCCAAAGTCATGCTGGGGAAGTTTGCATTTTTACTGTACTTTCCATAGCCGAGTTGCAGAGAATAAAAACGAGAATCATATACTTAAATAATGAAGGGGCATTCCACACGGCCTGACGACTTTCTCTGGAGACAGCCTACCTTATGGTGGAGACAGTAAAGCATCTTGACCTGGGGTTGAAAAAGACTAAGAATCTGGCTTCATTCCTGCGATTTCCTAACTACATGCTCTTAATCGCTTCTTACAATAATTGTAGCTAGCACCTGTCCACACCCGGTGCATGAAAGATGCTTCAGGTAGGTTGTTCGTTGCCTTGCTTAATTTTTCCAGATCATAATCTGAGCATTGCCTTCCTTTTACATCTAGAAGGCAGCGAGGAGGAGTGAGGAACCTGGTCCCCTGCAAGCAGGCAAGGTCAGCCTAGATTTTAGGGTGTGTTTTAAAACAACTGCATCTTCCGAGGCGTGGTGTGACTCACCTGTGTTCCCAGAACTCCAGAGAATGAGGCAGGAGGATGGTGAGTTTGAACCAGACTGGCCTGCAAAGATGCCTTGTCTCATAAAACAAACTAAAACAACAGCAGTTCGCTTGACACGATGAAGCAGTACAGTAAACGTTCAGCAGAGTGGAGTGAAACACGTTTGAATGGCAGAACCGGGCTAAAATGATCATAAAAATGGATCGTCGTCATCCCTCCTCATTTTTAGTTTGTAAACGTCCGCGTAACTGCAATTCAGAGGTTGTGTCTTTCATGGTCGAATAGATATTTTGAAGTCTCTTTGAGTTTCCTCTCTGCAAAATACAGGCACTCCTGTCTGTGTATCTTGACCCAAGTTCTAGGACAGCAACAACTGTAGCAACATGCAGGAAGTGTCAGTACAGACCACAACACTTGTTGCTGTGAATATTACCTGAGCTTCCTGAAGACTGGGTTCTGACCCTTACTGGACACAATAAAAATAGAACATTTAGCACTTCGCAAAGTCCAATTATTGGTAAATAAAACCATTGTAGTCTCATTTTAAGAGACAGATAAAAATATGTTGTTTCAGATAGAATCTTGCTTTATAGCCCAGGTTGGCATCAAACTCATGATTCACTTGTCTTAGCCTCCGAAGGGCTGGGATTACAAACACCAGCATCAAGCTCTTCTCTGTTTTTTTCTAAAGGAAAAACTCACATTAGTCTTTCCTAGGGCGCTAAAAAAAAAAAAAAAAAAAAAAAAAAAAAGACAGTCCTCGCGGCTTACTGGAGTGTTGCAACAATTTGCTGAACTTTTCTTTATGTTTCTGCTTTACCAGACACCATGCACCTTTTGTATATTGTTTAAATTTATCTTCACGAAGTTCTGTTAGGTCTTAGTGCCTCAAATATAAACGCGAAAGGAGAAATAGCTTAAGTTTCACAACTAACAAGTTAGGCAGCCCTCCAATGCTTTCTCTATAGATTTTCAAGACTATGATCAGCCACATTCCAGAAAGGAAAAAACTCTCTTTAACAGAATATCTTAGGCAAATCCTCTGCCAAAAGAAATTATTTATGCTTATTAACTTTTATAAACAGACAATATTTTTAAAGGTGTACCAAGAGAGAAAGCTCTCAGCTACGCTTAATTCTAAGAGTCCCATTCTAATAGTATAAACACCGGGACCAGTAACAGAGGTGGACAACATTGAGTTAACGAGGGTAACAGCTGTCTGTTTCTCATGATTTTTGTTTGTTTTCTGTTTCTCTCTGTAGACTGGCTATCCTGGAACTCAGAAGTCTGCCTGGCTTTGCCACCGGAGTGCTGGAATTAAAAGTGTGCACCACCATATCCAGCTATTGTTTCTTGTGTTTTAAATTTTATACTTAGTACACAGAAAACAGACTTTTTTTTTGGCGTGGGTATTTCACTCAATCATGCAATCTTGGTCCTTGTTCTATCATTGTCTAACTTTACAATCTTATACTGGTCACTAAATCTCTTTGGTTCTCAATTTCCTATTGATAAAATAGGAATAATAATTCTTAGTTTCTAAGTATGGTCTTTGACATTCATCAAATAATGGTTTAATTAAATAAATTTTGAAGATCCATTTTAATAACAAAATTTTGTAGATTTAGGACAAAAAAAAATCACCATAATTTAAGGCTAACAATTTTCAGGTCAGGAAAATATCTGACCTGGAAGAGAAAGTAGCTTTTAGTCAGAACTTGAACTCCTGATTTTCCTGCTTCCACTTCCAGTTCTCAAGTGCTGCTGGACCTGGATATTTTTCTTGAAAACCCCTCCCGTTTCTCTCTTTCTCTCTCTCTCTCTCTCTCTCTCTCTCTCTCTCTCTCTCTCTCTCTCTCTCTGTGTGTGTGTGTAGTGTGTGTTCAGTGACGATGGTGTGTGTGTGTGTGTGTGTGTGGAAGTGATCTAAGTGTGATATTTTGGTGAAATACAATATAAATTAAGTAAAAAAGCATGGTTAACACATATCAATCCCAGCACTCAGGAGGCAGAGGCAGGTGGATGCTGTGAGTTCAAGGCCAGCCTGGTCCAAAAGAGCTAGTTCCAGGACAGGCTCCAAAGCCACAGAGAAACCCACAAAAAAAAAAAAAAAAAAAAAAAAAAAAAAAAAAAAAAAAAAAAAAAAAAAAAAAAAAAAAAAAAAAAAAAAACTATGTGGGTAATTAGAATGTTTCTGAGTGGATTTCTCTCAATAACAAACAGTACATCTCCGTTTTTCATTTAGGTTAGTGGCCTCTCTGGTCAATCCTATTTTGAGCAGTGCTGGTGTAATGAACTCTTCCTAAAGGTGAGTCAGAAAGTGAAGTGACAAGCTGGAATTACTAAAAATGCAAAAGTCTAGACAGCTGAGCGACAGCTTAGAGTTATCTGGACTTAGTGGAGCACACCCAGTTCCCAACACTTGGAAGACGGAAGGAAGGTCAGTAGTTCAAGGTCAATCTTAGGCACCTAGCAAGTTCGAGACTAGAACTCGAAAACAAACTAACGAACTACGGCTGCTGCTTCTAAGAGTCCATCTGTCTCAGTCCTGCTCGATGTTAATGAGATGCCGTCTGTCTGTCATCTTCCTGGGCTCTACTTCCCAACAAGTTATACTTCTCTATGAATTTATATTTTCTTAAAAAAAAACAAATTTAAAAAAAGTTTCATTATATTTTAGTGGATGTGTGTGCGTGCACACAGGTGGGTATGAGATGACAGCTGGATGGAGTCGGTTATTTCCCTCCACCATGTTGGCCCTGGAGACTGAACTCAGGTTCTCAGGCTTGGCATCCCATACTTGTACCATTTAAGTCATCTCCCCACTTCCTGAGTTTACATCTTTTATAAGAGAGTTAGAGTCAAACATTAATGGAAGTCCTGATTCTCTTCCCACACCCCCCACTTTGTTTTTTTTTTTTTTTTTTTTTTTTTTTTATCAAGACAGGATTTCTATGTGTGTAGCCCTGGCTGTCCTGAAACTCGCTCTTGTAACCATGCTGGCCTCGAACTCACAAAGTTCCACCTGCCTCCCCAGTGCTGGGATTAAAGGCACGCATCACCATCACCCCATGAAAGACCTGATTCTTTAGCAACCACACTTGTTATTGGTTTTGTGAGGAGAAGAACCGGATAGTTTAGAACATCTTCTCCAATATATCTGCAAAGCACCTGGTACATGTTGCCTCAGACTCCGTGAGTTCACAGGAGCTTTGCTCATACAGATTTAGAAGGCCTTATTTTCCTGATGCCCTCTATCCCCTCTGGCTCTAACACTGCTCTTTCTCAGGGTTCTCTGAGTTCGGAAAGGAAGGGTTTGATGGATTGATGGAGACATCCTCTGAGGGCTGAGTGTTATATCTAAATATTCTTGTTGCTAGATATGTTGAGACAGGGCCCAGTCTTTAACAAAATGATTGTGAGGTCTGGGACTGTATCTTAGTGACAGAGCACTTGCCTAGCGCGGCCAAGGACTTGGGTTTTATCCCCAGCCCTGTCAAAAGCAAATAGGTGAGACCTGAGAACCAATATTTAACAACAAACAAAAGACAAACGACAGCAAGTAAAGATGGCGAAAAAATAAGACACACATGTCTTCATAATTCACACCCACTTTAATATGTTATTGTATGGATTCATCTTTTTGTAAGAAAACATTACAGAAGAATTCAGCCCTCCTTACCACGCCAGATCTTTTAATATATTGGTAGGTGGTGCTGCCATCTACTGACTACTTTTGCAATGACACTAAACAATTGTAAACTTCCTATGGAGAAATGGCCACCTCCCAGAGGTTCTATTGGAAACTTTACAGTCTATTCCATTTATGGGGTGGTGCTGGCTTTTAGTGAACAAATACTAGATATGATATGTACTTAGGGCAATAATCTCACAAAGAATTGAATTGGCCCAAATCTCAATTGTCTTTCTTAGAAGGTAGTTTTTTTTTTTTTTTTTTTTTTGCATGATTTTAACCTAATACAGAATGGTCAGGAATGTGATTATTGTATGTATGAACAAAGAATTGTACCTTGTGCTGTTCCAGTCTTTTTTTTTTAATGGTTTTTCAAGACAGGGTTTCTCTTTGTAGCTTTGGAGCCTATTTTGGAACTCGCTCTGTAGACCAGGCTAGCCTTGAACTCACAGAGATCTGCCTGCCTTTGCCTCCCAAGTGCTGGATTAAAGAGGTACGCCACCGCCCAGCTTGTTCGGGTCTTAAAAGGTTTGCCTTGGGATGAAACGACTCTATTTGCCATCTGTGTCATATACACACAAGTAGCACACAGTCTGCATATGGTAGCTGTAACGTGCAGCAGGATTATGTGTATGTTAAAGCAGA